GTAGTTAATAAGATCTTAACTAAACTCTAATTATGACAGTAGAAGTGCAAAGCCTTAGCTATTTTGGTTCCCACCAGCCAGCCCATTCCCCTTCCCTGATGTCTAGACCAGGGGGCTGCAGGTGTGTCTACACACAAACTGAAAACAAAACCAAACTTAGGTCAAAGCCTCCAGCAGCCAAAGGTGCATACAGGATCAATTCAGTTGTTTCAGCTCCAGCTCATGTGGCAGAAAACCCTGATGTTCCCATCACCTGAGGAGGGAGGGCTGTTCCTCACACATAGGTCTTGAAGTTACACCCTCAGGGCAGAAGATGCAATCAGGTTACCACAAGTAATGTCCTGTCCAACTTGTTCAGCAGTGAGTGCTCCGCTCTTCTGTCAGCTCTTTCATCAAACAACTGCTCTTCGCTTTGCTCCAAGTTTGCATCTGAACTGTTCCTTGCAGAGCTCCCACCATGTACCTCTCCATGCTCTTCCTTTCTCTGAGGTTCTCTGTTACTGCTGTTGTCAAAGGTGAGCCTGAACTGGCTTGTGAATGTGAACGCTGCCAGACCTGACCTCATTGCCCCGGAAATTAAAAGGCAAATATTATAATCGATCAACTCAATGCAGAAAAAAAGCCCTTGGTTTGAAATGAGGAGACTAGAACAATTATCTCCAATATCATATCCTATCTTTTGGACCTAATTTCATGCTACCACTGCTGTTTCTCTAACTTCCTTAGAATGGGAAAAAACCAAACCAGTCCCTCCTCCACACATAACAAGGCAGTGGTGTCTTGGCTTCCTACTTTCCCCACAAATGTGCACTGCTCCTACATGATACCAGGGGCTATCAAGGATGGCCCTTTCACCCAAGTGGGTACATAGATGAAGCAAGAAAAATGATGTTGCTGTTAAGTCAGGAGGCTTGCATTTGCTAGGCAGGAGTCTACATCTCTCACAAGAGTTGTGCTAGTGGTGCAGAACTTGGAAGAACTGGGAACCCTTTGAAGAAAAGCAGGAATATCTCAGCACTTTGTTGCTCTTTGAGGAGAGACATGAACAATTAATATCTGAATTAATGCAAGATGATCGATCATAGAAGCTTTTGCTTCATTTTCTATCATCTGCAACTAACTGTATGAGTAAGTGGCTGAAAGATGCAAGAGACAAGACTTTAAAGTGGTCAGTCCCAGAGCTGGAACCAGGATTTCAGGAACAGTCAGTCCTTAGCGGCTCCCTGCTTTCTACTGCCACTCAAGCAGCTTTGAAGACTACTTTTAAGATGTAGCCATGTATTCAAATACTCAAGTAGGAACAGAGTGCTGTGCAAGGTCTGGACACAGGAAAGCCACGTGGGGAAAACAATTCTTAAATCAAGAACAGCTAACAGGTAGTGTCTTCCACCAAGCGTCCCAAGTTTGGAGAAGCCAAACCAACCGAGGTCTTGGCTAGGAAGTGGTGACAGGAGGACAGTGTTTACATGCTTAAACCTCAGTCCCGTGCAGAGGGTAGAAACAAACCCAAACTTCTCATGTTCAAGCTCAAATTTGTCTGCAAGAAACACAGCCGGGACACCATGCAAGTGTGCCAAAGCACAGCCTGTTTACAAGTGCATGGCACAGTGTGGGCCAAGGTCAGCTCATTTTCTGAGCCAATACCAAACTGACGTCATGACGCTACAGCTGGAGCCAACAGCAAAGCTGCATGGGCTTTAGGCTGGAGCACTAATGCCTCCAATCCAGCAAACATGTAAGCACACGCTTAACTTGAAAGGAACAGTTGGCAGGTCTGAGGGACTGACTCCAGTGCTAGAAGTCAGCAGTGGCAGATTGCATATAGCTACAAAGCCTTTTATCTTCTAGAAGCCCAGATGCTGCTAGGAACGAGTCCTGCATCCTTACAGGGTATTGCAATAAGAGAGGCACTACCCACGAAAGAAGATGGGGTGGGAGAAAAAAGTCTTTAAGGCAAACTAGGATAGGAACAGCATGAAACAGGAAAATAAACACTGTGGCCCTGGCATGGAGACAGACTAATCTTTCCAAACTCCCTAAAGTTGCATGGATCTTGGAACAAGAGAGAGGGATTGAGGCAGTAAAGTATTTCACAGATTGTGTACACATCATTATGTACCGTATAGAAATGATACTTTTATGGCCTGGATATATGGACAGCCAGCCTGAGTTGAGCAAGAACAGAGAGATTTGGCAGGTAAAATAAGAGAGTCATAAAACAAAAGATAAAGAGGGAACTGAAACAAATATAGCCACAGAAAAGAGCCCCATGACAGGCAGTGTTAGCCATTGTCTGTGTGGGATTGTTTATTTTATTTTTGTCCTCTCTCTTCACAAGGAGGAGAAGGATGTCTCTAGCTTGGGTTTGTCTACGCTTTGCAGTCAGTGAGCATTATGCAACCCCATGGAGACAATCAATGACAAACTGTTCCAGACCTTCACCTGCAATAACATACCCACACCAACCAGGCCTTGTCCGATAGTCTGGATCAAAATAGGGACCTAGCTAATAACGTATTGCTTGTAAGTGGCCTGGGAGTCCTCCTCACAAGGCAGTACAACCTGTGAGTGAAAGAAAGAGCAAATCCTATGCAGAAACATTATCTGAGAGCAATTAATTTGCTTCTCTGCCAAGTAAATCATCTCTCTATGACTCTGCTGGAACAAAAAAGCATTTCTTGAAGAGGATTAGACCATTCCTTATGGTTTTGTGTCCCCATCTACCCCAGCAGAAGTTTGTAGGTTCTTGTGTGTTCGCTCACTTGAAAGGCAGACACTGAAGTGGTCTGATGCTGGGGGTTCCCAGACAGCAGCACAATACCAAAGGAATTAATTTTCAAAGAGCCTATTTCAAAGTCTTTGTTTGGTTTATATTAAACACATAATTAACTCAACTGCCTGAACAAACTGGGAAGAAAGCTCTGAAATCAAAGATTTACAGAATTGCCAGCCATGAGAGTTCACAAGCCAGGTTCTGAAACAACCATGAAATTGGCACCATCTGTCTCTGGTTCTCCTTTTCCTTCAGCTGCCTGTACTGGAAATCTAGTAGCGGGCAGAAGCGAGAGTGTGAATTTGCGGTGCAGTAGCTGCTCCAGACCTGCTCCCACAAGGGACTGCGTGCTCCTCCCCCCTGGAAGCGAGCAAGCATGGGAGAAGCAGCAGCTCGTGTGATGCACATACACATCTCCACCCACCCCGGGGTAATCACCAGCTGCGATTTTCCTGATGAGAGCCAAGTTTCTTCTGCAGCTCTGATTACCCTGATCCCCTCAGCTGGGCTCTCACAACAAATGTCACCTGGTTGGGCAACTCGGGATGTTGCAGCTCTGTGTCCCCACCCCACACAGCTTCACAGCTCACATGGTATTTATTCCACCTGCAAAACAGCACAGCAACAGCAGCTCTTTGAAGAGAGCTGCGTGAAGGCCTAAGGTAAGTGTCAACAGTTGCATAAGCTTAGCGGGGACATGACTTGCAACCTGAGTTTTTCAGCCTACCTACCACTGTTTTACAAGGCAGCAGAGAAGGCACATGTCCCTCCCTTCCCTCCTCCCCCCTTCATACTAAACCAGAGGGGCAGTGTCAGCAAAAGAAAAACAAAGGCAATAATATTAATAAAGCCTGAACCAGGTAAGAGCTGGAGGAGATGGGACTTCCCAGCTCATTCCTTGGGTGGCTGCAAGTAAAAAACAGCAACAGCACAAGGATTCAAAGCACAGTTAAGCAAAAGACTGGAGATGTGAATGAGTCTGCTGAGCTCCAAACAAGGAAAGAGAGGAGTGCAGATGCCTGGCCTGCAGTTAAAGACTGCACAAGTGATGCACCTGGGCTGCCATGCTATTCCTTGCACCATGGCCCCCTGCCAAGATTGGCCAGGGTAGCAGCACTTCTGACATCTGCTGTGAACTGCTGTCCCTGCCCTTGCTGGGCTGCACCCCGCCTTCTGCTCCTACCCTTCCAGCAAGGGAAACTGCATCAGTGATGGGACAGGCTTCAGGATGCTGAGGAAAGGGTCAGGCATCAGTTGAAACTCCCCACACTGTGACCAAAGGTCCTCCCACCACCTGGATTACCAGGGCATGCTTCAACAGCAGGTCTCACCTATTCCTAAGCAAACATGACTTCCTCTCCCCAAACTAGCACCTTGCTGCAGCAAAGGTACCCCAGGCCAGAGAGCAACCTTATGCCTGCACCAGGCAGGCAGAGACAGCAACAGACACTGCTCCCTGGTGTATTTAGTTCAGAGAGGAGAGCCCATGACTACCCCATCCAACACATGGACAACACAGAAGTCATTCTGCTTGCCTGGTGTGACACTGGATGAACAGCGGTCCTGAACTCCAGCCAGTCTGTAAACACAAAGGCATTTGTGCGAGGGCCTGCACTAGCCTGTGGAGTTCCCTGAAGGAAGCTGTGCTGACCCTCACCTTGTCTCAAAGGGAAAAAACCAAACCAAAACAAAACCAAAAAACACTTTTCCCAATGTAGAGGATGGGATGGTATTTCTGAAGGCACTGAGCGGTCCACTGGGACACCTTTCCAACAAGCGGTTGTTTCTCATCTTTACTCACAGCACCCCTGCTTCCCCAAAGTGATCGCAACTTTTTTCTTAACTCGCTTTCTTCTTAACTAGCTATTACAAAAGCCAGTTTAGACAGCGAGCCCCAGCCTGCCCCAGGCTCCTGCAGGGCAGCCCAGCCAGGGTCAGAGAGCAGACAGCCAAAGGTCCAGTGCCTCTCAGGGTGGAGCCTGCCCCAAGCCTGCCCAAGGAAGAGGAGAGAGGTCTCCCCAGGCCAGGTGTAAATGAACTTAGGATGTGGCCTGAACTCCCACACCTAGCAAACCCTCCGGAGGGCACAGGCAGAGGCATGGGCTGCAGGGAGCAAACACAAGTCTCTGGGTAGAAAGCACTTACCCCATGCTCCAGCCCGTGCTCTTGCTGCTGGGATATCCACCCGAGCAGCCAGCCTGGCACCCTGCACGCCACTCCATCTCACCTGGGAGAAGTTCAGCCCATTGAGTGGGTGGCACTGCTCCTCCACTTTCTCCACGGCACCCGTTTGCTTCCTCAGCCGCTCCGCTTCCTGGGCCAGGTACAGATCCAGGACGGGCACGCCTCGCGACTTGATGTCCACTTCTGTCAGAGAGTTCACCATCAGCATCACCCACACCGGCCTCTTCCGCTCCCAGTTGCCAGCAATGGCATTGAAGAGGTAGTCTGCGTACAGCCCTTTGCCCCGCTGGTCCGGGGTCATCCAGGACGGCATCATGAGCTTCACGTATTCCAGGTGCCGCTTGAGCCGTCGGTAGATGTCACGGGGCAGCACGTCCTGGAGGTTCTTCCCCTGCGGCAGGAGCTGGCAGCTGGTGAGAGCTGAGATGGTGTAGGGGTCAGTGAGGTCCAGCTCGAAGTACACGATATGGCTCTGCTGAAAGGCCTTCTTGGAGTTCTCTGGGATGAAGTCCCAGACACGCGTGTACGGGACATGGATGGTGCCAAAGAAGTAAGATGGGGGATCTCTCTTGATGGTCCACAGGAAGGAGTTCAGCTCGCTTTGCTGGGGGAGAGGGAAACACAGCTGAGTAAGTACAGACATTCACACCAGGCCACTGCCGTACAGGGCTAAAGGAAAACCCGGTGCCAAGCCAGCAGGTCACCTGGCTCAGCACCTTGCCAGCATGGACTTTTTCTAAAGCAGCTTTGCTCACACAGAGTCCTCTTTGACCATTCTTTTTCTCAGGTCTTCAGGTCAAAATTCAGTTTTTATTAATTAAAAACACAGGAAGATTGGACCTGGCTTCCTCCTCCTGAAAGGCAACCCTGGGTCTTCTCAACAGTAACGTCACCCCAGCTCATCACCTGGATATCTGCCAAAACCAGCAGCAGAGCACAGTCCAAGCAGGCCATGCTCCAGGCAAGGAGCTTTTATTCACCTTTTATTGAGTCAAAAGCTGGCATCACTTTGCTGAAGCAGAGCAGGACAGCAGGGTTTCAATCACCTTCACCTCGATGCCTTTCACTTCAGCGCGGCAAGGCACCTTTTGTCAAGGAAGCTGCTGTGACACTTAGTCAGAAGGTGCCGCAGCATCACAGGAGAGCTTTCCATTCTGAGCGAGACACCAAACAAACGAGTAACACAAAACACAGCTGGCAGGCAGACTTGCAGGTAGGAATAGTTTCACAGGGATGTAGCACATGGCAGACACACAGTCAAGACCCCTCACAGACCAGTTCTCCTCTTTCTTAGGGGCAGAGAAGCACATGCAATACCTTGGAAAATAAGGGAAGAAATTCTGCAGGCCAAACTCGGCCTGTCATTCCAGGGCATACTCTTTTAAACAGAGAGGAGGAAAAAGCTTCTTTCTTTAGATTAGCTTTTAAAATCTCTCAAATCCCACAGCCAGCAGGAAGTCAGAATCAGACTAAGTTTGTTCCACTGCAAAATGTGCCTCACAAGATCCCCAGGAATACCAGAGTGCAGGGCTGTGCTCCAGCCCTAAGCAATCCAGCAGGCCAGGACAGCAGATCGGGCAAAATGGATTCTGCCAAGTCACTTTACACCAACAGCAGGTGTGACCTCCACCACCTACAGCATGCACCCTGCTGGCGCCAGTGGTCCTTACTGGAGAAACGGACACAAACAGTTTCTATCTCTCTGCGCAGTCACAAAGAGGCAGCCTTTGCATGTCTAAGTAAGAGGAGGGGCTTCCAGATGCACTCAAACATCTGGTCAGCCTTTAGCCAGCAGATAACTAACCTCAGCTCTGAGGCTAAGTGTGCATATGTGCTGATCTAAGTAGCCTGCCTGACTGCCAAATGCAGAACAGGCTGCTTGGAGGAATTTATTGGAAGCACGTTGCCTATAAATTTCTGATTCTAAAGACCCTGGGTCAGAAAGGTTAATCTTAAAGACTGCTCTGCAATGGCTAATCCCGGACAACCTTCTCCAGCAGCTCTCTGTGTCAAACCCAGGCCACAGATCAGGCAGCACTTCAGCAAAGTCCTACCACCAGTCCAGCTTACCAGCACAGACCAACAAACCATACTCCAAAGGGCTCTTCAGACAATTCTGCAGCACATGGAGAATCTGAAGAATACCTCAGACCTCGGTAACACTCTGGATCCTATAGGACAGTCCTGGAATGCACTCCTGAATTACAGATCATAAAAAGCCTCCTGAAGACCATGGGAAGAAGGGAGAACAAACATGATGCAGCACGGTAAAGAAGATACAGGGCAACAGATGAGCATGAATCTGACATAGACCCAGGAAGAACACAGGAAAATGAATACGCAAAGGGATACAAGAGGGAAAACGAGGCAGGGTTGCCTCCTGTCATTAGTCAGGAGGGAAAAATGGAAGGACACGCCACTGTGGTAAGAAATGAACTGGAAGTAGTCGTCAGCCAGCAAGGAGGAAGGACCAGAAGTGCTGCTTTCTATCTACAAGCAACCAAAAAGACAGAAGAGGCACCTGGGACAGGCGTGAGGTCAGGAGGTCAACACTCCTTCACTTCGCACAAGTCTGATCATGCACGTGGCAGTGCGCAAGAACAGCCATGACTGCAAGGAATCCACAAGGAACAAGTGGTCACCAGCCAGCTTAAAACTTCAATTCAGCTCCTGAATAATCCCAGCCAGAGGGCTCAAGCCCAGAGTGATGGCAGCAGGCTTTAACGCAGGTCATCAGCACTACTCTGGAATACTGCACACAGCCCAGCTAGAAAGGTGTTCAGCATTGCACTCTGACATTTTTTTTTCCTCTGCAAATCCCCCCCAGCTTTCACAATCCAGTACTGAAAGCAGAGTAATACTGCCAGCTATTAGTGGTAGCACTGAGGAAATCACACAGGCCATCAGGCACAGAGCAAATACAGTCTGCAGCATAGGCAGAAGAAAGAAGGCTAAAACCTAGCAAAACTTCTCATGCGGTTCTAGAGACTGAGACCTTACAAAGCAGAGCAGCTGGGCACTCTTGCTGGTACTTCCACAACAACAGGAACAGTCATGCACCAAGCGCCTTTCAGACTGCCCCTCTCACAATTGCTTGGAACCATTGTGAGGGGCTGGAGAACAGGCCTCAGTTTCCCACCATTGATGGGAAACCTTCCCAGACCCCGCAGAGCCAGTTTCCGGGCACCAGCAGTTGGGTAACTGCTCCAGGTAATGCTACAATGGGAGCTCACAAAGCTCACTTTCCCTCCAAAATGTGGAATTACAGCTGCTCGGGGCTTGCTAGTGCCTCACACTCCTTTGGCATCTCCTTTTCCTTCAGGAGGTGGAGACTGCAGTTCCAGTACTGCTCTGCCTCCATGCCAGACCCCTGCAAACAGCCCGGTACTACATCGTGTGAGAGGCTGGACCAAAGTCCTAGGTATGCCTGAGCAGGTCTGTGCCCTGCCTGCTGTACCTTCTGGCACTGTCATGTCCCTGTGCACCTCCTGGAGCTCATGCATGTTTCACTGCAGCTTCAGAGAGGAAAAAGCAAGGGTATAATCCCTCCCCAAGACCATAAAAGGGGAGCCATTAAACAACACTCTAGGTGGCTGTGAGATAGCACAGGAGCAGCACCGAGGCTTGTTCAGCATCGCAGTACACACCATCACTGGCAGCGCCTCTCTCTCACCTCACTTCCCTAAGAGCACGCAGTAGATAAAGGTGCTACAACCAAATTTTCTTGTGCAGTAGGATCCTTCTTACACAGCTGTTACATCAGAAAGGGGGGGCTTTGAAACCAGCATAAACTACAGTCATGGTGGTGTCCTGGAAGATTAAGAGAGCTGGGTTGTCTAGCTCCAGGAATTTCACTTTCAGCAGTGTAACAACAAAAGTCAGGTTCACATAAAGGATCAAGATGCGTATTTCTGTCTCCACCCTCCAATGTATGGGTGGTGTCCAATGCATTACTTGGGATGGGAAAAACTAGGAGCAAAGGGGAGAAAATGGAGGGACAGCCTAAGGAAGAGAGCGGCAGTCCCACATGAGAACACAGGTCTCCCAATTTACTGCCACACCAAGACCTGAGGCAGTGTCTCACTGGCCTTACCACGCCTCCTCTGTGCCTCAAGTTTAACCTCCTACCTCATAGTCCCAGATTTCTGAGTGCTCAGCACCATGGCATGGTGCCTTCTTCCCTGCCTCACCTCCCCAGGTGAACAGCAGCTGGCTGTGAACTGACTGAAGGTATCAGCCCAGCCAAAAAATTGCTTGGAACACAAAAAGAGAGAGGCTTTTCCCCAGGCAGCAGGGGAATGAGGGAGAAAGAAAAGGAGCTGCTCAAGCTGACACTGGAGCAGAGACAATGCACTGGGACCTATGGGATCCACTCCCTGCCACGAGACTGGGAAAGCCTCCCTCCCCCCAACAAGGGCTGCACAGGGGACAAACTCCACTGCCCACTGTGAGATGCAATGGGGGCACATAAGGCCAGACGATGCTTCCCCAAAATGAGCAGACAACAGTGTCAGGCGTTGCAGAAGTCCTGGAAAAGCAGTGTGCAGATCAAGGGTATTCCTTCAGGACCTGAAGGACGGTCTAGGCAGGAACAAAAATAAAATTGAAGAAAGGGAAAATAAAGTGATGTACTCAGACCAGTAGCTGGAACCAGAGCATGCTAGTCCCATATCCCAACATCTGCCCTCTAATCACACAGCTGGTTGTCCGCAGATGGCACTGGAAACTCCCATGACCTTCTGCCTTCCTTCTGTCTGTTTCAGCAGAACACATGGTCTGACTGAAAGGTATTTTTGTTATCTTTCCAATAGCTTGCTTTTTTTTTTTTTTTTAAGATTTAAGGAAACCCAAGCCTCAGATTCTGTTCATTTTAACCACCCCCAGCAGCTCGCTCTTCCAGCAATATTTACACATCTACCATAGGATGAAAACTGTAGTTTTCAAATACAAATACTACTGCGCTTGTCAGACATCACACATTATTTCAGGTGAGGCAGCAATGATTCTGCTGAAAGAGTGGTGCCAAAGAGGATCAGAGAAAGTGACATCTTTCTTCAGAGAAACTAGCTCAAATTGGGCCAAATGATGTACTGTCAAGATTAAAATTATGGTAAGCACCCAGAAAATAATGCAGCAAAAACCAGGGGGAACAAAGAATGTATCCAGTAGCAGCACTCCGAACATCTAGAAGAAGAATATGCCAGTTTAAAAAACAAACAGAAGAAAAAAATCAAGAGGGAAGGTTGTGGTGATGTAGAGAACGGAAGCTCAGAGGGGAAGGAAAACTGAGGAACTGGATGTGAACTCCAGACATGGGAAACCTACACCTGGTCTGCTTCCTTCTACATCTCATCTGCTTCCTTCCATCTTCTGCCTATCTCATCTAGGTAGATCACACATTTTCCAGCACAATGTAACTCACTGTGCAGGTGGGTGCCCTCTGCGGCTTCAGGGTCTTTCAGGACCCCTAAACCTCATACTCATCACTTGGTTCCACAGCCACATCTTCCAAACCTCAGCCCAGGATTGCACTGTTCCTCAGTCCACAATATTCTCTTAAATTTTTTTTTCTTTTTGCTTGCTACAGAAGCCAGCGTATGTGGCATGCAGTATTTCACCCAGGCAGGCAGCCCTATAACCCTCCCTATATGGCTTTCTCCCTCCCTCTTATCTATCCTGGTGTCATGTTTTGTCATGTTCCAAGGCAAAGACTCACCATGTAAACTGCCCCATGCACCTACAGTAATTCACACAGAAATGCTAGGCACATTTTTAATAGTCATTCTCTTGAGCATTTGCCCACCTGCATTACTGACATTCTCACACTCAGCTTAAGACTGTAAGCAGAACTTGCTTGGATAAACACTGCACTGGCTACAACTGCCAGGAAGTAAAAATGAAAATCGAATTTTTAACTAAAAAGCCAAGGGTTAAGAGCAGACAGATTACTTGAT